ACCAGAAGAGTTCGGTACCGGGAAAAATACCGAGCGGGTTGTTCAACTCGATGTTCGGGTTGCAAAGCGGGTCGTGGGGGGTGGATGCCGGAAATACAAAGTATTTGGGGCTGGATGGATATTATATTATTTTGTTTAACGTTCATCTTCATCGCTACCCCTTGATTCTTGCTGATCAAGTCAGGGACGCCGTTCCTTCCACGTGGGATCCTTCTGCTCTTGCTAGGTAATTTTGTTTTTTAATTACTTAATTAATTTGATAAAATTGAAGGGGTGGGTTTATTCCAATTTCAATTTTTTTTTAAAGATGATTGAAATTTGGAATAAAATTGATTGATTATCTCAATTATATATATATATATATATATATATATATATATATATATATATATATATATATATATATATATATATATATATATATATATATGACCAAGTCTTCGTTTAATCTATCTCTCTATACATGTTATGTATATACATAATAAATATATGTATAATGTATGTAATATGTATGAGTGTGATTAAATATTTTTGTTAATTAAAAAATCGCAAAGTTTGAAAAACATATAATATGTTGAGAATTTTGGTGATATAATTGGATGCACGACGATAGCAGCAACTATTGAAATTTTCAATTTATTGTTTATTTGTTAAATTTATCCAAAAAGTCAGCCATATATAAGAATAAGAGTAATTTAGACTAGAGGTATTTGGTAAAATCGTACCAGAAATTTCGGTGCTTAAAAAATTTGTACAGTTTTTTATTAAATTAATTTGATTTTTTTGGTTCGGTACTTGTAAAATCGAAAATAAATTTTCTTATTTTGGAAAAATCAAAAAAAATATTTAAACTAATTGATATTGAATTTGACATTCAAATTTCAATAATAAGTCATATAAACAAAAAGTGATTATCAATAAAGGTTAAATTGTAAATAATGAATTTCTTTTAACGGGCATTAGTTCCGTGTACCATACCGAAATTTGTTATCCGGCACGTACCGAATTTTCGATTATGTACAATTTGATCGATTTACGGACCAAGTGAACACCTCTGATTTAGACACCGAAAATATCGCAGTATTCTAAGGCTCTAATTTGATCAATAATGTTATACTATACTATAAAAATAATTATTTTATATTCAACATTCAACAATATTCCGTATTCTTTTCTTGCATACACATGTTGCTGAATTTTTATTTCCAACGATGCATTATTATTATTATTATTATTATTATTATTATTATTATTATTATTATTATTATTATTATTATTATTATTATTATTATTATTATTATTATTAATAATATAAAATGTAGAATGAAATTTGGGTGAGGATATATACATATATACTAATTATTTAAAAATTGAATAATTATTAATTTTGGATGTGACAGATTTATAGAAAAATATGGAACTCACATAATTGTGGGGCTGAGCATAGGTGGACAAGATGTGGTGTTAGTGAAGCAAGACAAATCTTCAGACATGGAACCTTCACACCTCAAGAACCATCTGGATAACCTTGGCGATCAGTTATTTAACGGCACCTGCACTTTTTCTCCACGCCCATTCAAAACTAAACAAAAGGTCCTTTTTCTTTTTCCCCGCCCTTTTTTAGGGTAAATTACGAAAATTCCCCTAAATCTGGACTAAATTACGAAAAAAAAAACTTCCACCTATCTGTAATTACCAAAATCCACCCGATATTTGTTTTCGTCTTATGTCGTCCCCTTTATGGTGTGATTTTTCACGATGTCTTTTTTTTCCTTTTTAAGGGAATATTCCTCGAAAAAAGTCGATTCTACCCCTAACAACAGTCTGTTAAATGTAGTTGGTCTTGGTATAAATTTGTGCATGGCTACCTTCAATATGTTCCACGTTGCATGGGTAGAATTGATATTTTTCAGGGAAATATTCTTTGGTATCAAAAAGATTCCATGAAACATCACACCATAAGGGGGTCTGTATGAGACGGAAATAAATGTCGAGGGATTTTGATAATTATGGATAGATGGGGTGTTTTTCGTAATTTAACCTAAGTTCATAGGAATTTTTGTAATTTATCCTTTTTTTTTAAATTATTTGATTTTATTATTTTTTAATTTATGTTGACTTAAATTAAATTCGTGTTGTATAGGCACCGCAAGCCTTCAACGTGTTTGATCCTCAGACAAATGTACTCAGCAACTACCCTTCCATTACTGCAAAAGATGTAGGTTTGTTTGATTATCATTTATTTACATCTTTATTTCATTTATTTATAACAATTTCATTTTTTATACAATGAATTATTATAAAATAGAGTTAAAAAAAAAAATTGTCTCTAGTATTTATGATTTAGTATGAGAATGTGATCCGTCGAATTATTACGCGAATTCTTTTATATATACGAGTGAAAATACTATAATTTTATGAAAAAAAATAATAATAAGTATTTAGCATAAATGATTAAAATTATGCTAAAGGACAAATAGCAGAAAACCCTTTATTCATTTTTTTAAGTAAATTCAAGTCCATTACAAGAGGAAGTAGGGGAAGGGAGACTCGAACCCTAGATTTTTACCCTATTCGTCTTATTAATAATAGGGATTTGAGAAATGTCGTTGGGGGGCAATGACCTTCCTGGCCCTATGTTGGCTCCGCCACTATCTATGTCTAGTAAACAAAAAAATAAAATAAAAAATATAGGGCTACATACGAAATGTAAATCCAAAATTTGAATAAAATGTATATTTTTGTCGACGCAATTATTTATTTATTTATTTTATTGCAGGGTATTAGTGTAATATGTTCAAAGAGAGGTGGAGATTCATCAGTGAGTACACATTGTGAATGGCTGCCAACAGTTCCATTAAGACCAGATGCTATACATTTCAACTTCATTCCAATTACTTCACTACTCAGGGGTATTCCTGGCAAAGGATTTTTATCACATGCCATCAATCTCTACCTCAGATGTAAGCAATTTTAATTTTAATTTTTTTTTCCTGATTTAATTAATTTCGACAAAAATAAATTAATAAATATATATTAATTAATTAATTTATGTAAATAAATTTATTTTTATTTTTTTCTGATGGGCAGACAAACCTCCAATTGCTGATTTACAGTACTTTCTGGATTTTCAAGCCCACAAGATGTGGGCCCCAATTCACAATGACCTCCCATTGGGGCCCACCAGAAATAAGGCCCTTTATACACCAGCATTGCATTTCAATCTCATGGCCTCTAAACTATATGTAAATACTACTCAGGTGACAATTCAAACTCCTCCTTTCTAAAATTGAAATTAATTTCATAAGTTTATGATTTGATTTTTTTTTTATTTATTTATTAATCACATTAATTTGTTTATGAATTTGGTTTAATAAAAGGTTACGTCGGGAAACACTCCGGTGACCGGAATGCGGTTGTATCTCGAGGGCATGAAATGCAATAGGTAACATAGCTCGATATTCCTTTATATATCAATCTCCATTTCTATCTTTACGTATACATTCGAAATCTGAAATTTTAAATGTCGTTTCAATTTTAGTAGTAATGCAGTTTAAGATTATGCTTAACTTTCTCATCCAACCACTAATTTAGCTAATTCAAGTTCGGTAAGAAAGTAAATTCGAAGGACTTCAACTTTGACGTTTTGAATTTTTTTGAGATTCCGACTGAGATTGTCCATATCACTTTTGAAGTAGACTTATTGTGGGTTAGGGCAGTGTTCATTCATTCATGCATAATTCTCACACCCGACATCTGATCTAGTTGATTAAGTTATATTACAAAGCCAACTCAAAGTACTACAAATCTACTGCGATTAGTTTTGTCACATCGAATTGAAAGAATGATCAAAATCGCATTTGAAATCAGAACCGTCCTAGTAAAATTAAAACGACATTTAACACCTCCCGTAATTAACTTGCAAGTTTCACTTTCTTTCATCAGATTAGGCATACACCTCCAGCATTTCATAAACCCACCGGTTCTCCTCGAAGACAAGCTAAAACAAGACCCCGGCCAGCCACCGATGTGGCGGGGATCGGAAGACACCCCCGACAACCACCGCTACTTCGAACCCATCCAATGGAAACAATACTCCCACGTATGCACCGCCCCCGTAAAATACGACCCCAACTGGGCCCCGCCCAATCCAGAGCCGGGCCCCGCCTTCATAGTCACCGGAGCCCAACTCCACGTCGTCAAAAACCCCGATTCCAAGAAAAACGTGCTCCATCTCAGGCTATCGTATTCAAGGGTCTCGAACACCTACATTGTGCAGTCTAATTGGATGCAGTGTGCCTCCGAAACCCATTCGATGAAGTCGGGGTTTTTCTCTTCGATCACCACGTCACTTGCCGGAGGGTATTATGGGGAAAAGGAAAAAGTTGTGGGGCCCGTGATTATGGATTCCGGGATTTATCCAAGGGGCCCGCCAGTGCGGTCCCAGGGGATGAAGATGTTGAAGTTTGTGGAAACGGCGGAGTTGTGTCGGGGCCCGTCGGATAGTCCGGGGCATTGGGTGGTGACCGGAGCTAAATTGGATATCGAGAAGGGGAAGATATGCCTTCGGGTGAAGTTTTCGTTGTTGAATCTGTTATCTTCTTAGATTGGCGCTTTTTTTTTTAATTATCCAACTTAAATTGAGTTGATTTATTATTTTTTCATGTGATTGGTTCGAAGGATAAATAGAGTGATAGGTCAGAAGAAAATAATACAGTTCCAGTCGTCAGGTAAATATTATTTGGGTAATGAGTTAAATATGATGCATAGAGAAAATGTTTACATGTAAAAAGGAAACGGAGAAAATTAAATATTATTGATTCTTTATTCTTATTTATTATTAACCACTTTTGCTAAATTAATATCTAGGAATAAACCTCTTTTTCATTGATTCATGCTTTGATTCTTTAATACTTTGGTACTTACATTGGTTATTAGTGTTTTATGTGGATATTTCTTTTTCATTCAACCAAATAGTGTTTTGAAATCCCGCTTGAACTGATTAAACCGCGAACTATTACCTTGTCCGGTCCGGTTGAACCGTAATACCCAAACCCGAGTGAAAATTGGGTTTTTTTGTGTGCTTTAAAAAAAAATAAACAAATAAAATGGCCAAAACAATGTGTTTTTATTTTCCACTTGATATTAGGAAAAAAAAAAAAACCACGAAATTGGCAAGATTACTCCAAAATAAGATTTAAGACAGATGAAATATGACTTAACCAAGCTACAAAAACAAAACAAATATACTTATTTAATCAAAATACAAAAAATCGCAGAAAAAAAAGGGAAATAAAAAAAAGACAGCAAGCTGTAAAACAACCAAAATCGAAATCCAAAATCGAAAAATCAGCATCTCACCGTAAATATTTGACCGAATAAATCGGAGGTTTTTCAAATCTATAGCAACAACTCGGCAATCTGGATGGCATTAAGAGCAGCACCCTTGCGTATTTGATCGCCACATACAAATATGTCCAACCTGTTCAAATAAGACGTTCATCATTTGCATCTAGAGAGAGAGAGAGAGAGAGAGAGAGATATGCATACATACATACTTGCAAATCGATGTGTGTGCTGCGTGTACATATATATTGATATGTATATATATAGAATGTGGATGATCGATACTTACCCATAGTTGCCATCTTGGGAAACATCTTGCCTGATTCTTCCAACAGCAACATCGTCTTTATTAGAAACTTCTAATGGGGTCGGGAATTTGTTTGCTGCACGGTCATCAATAACTACTACTCCCGGAGCTTTGCTCAAAATCTCTCTTGCCGCAGCCTAAACAAAACAAGAAAATATAATAAATTATCCGAATAAAGAATTTCCAACTTCCAATGGGGAGAGAAAGAACAGTTTCTTTTCGAAATTAGGTTTAAGAAATATTTTTATGCTCAGACAAATTTGATCGACGCCCGCCACATGTCTTCAAAATAAAACTTCTTTTTCCATCCTTCAACTCACATGGGCATTGTACAAAATTTAACAAAATCTTGGATCAATTAAGGACGGAATAATTTTAACTACAAATATTTACCTCGTCTAAAGGTGTCTCGAACTGAAGATTCACACTCTCGGCATGAGCACGCATGACAGGTACTCTAATACAGGTGGCAGTAACTTTGACATTCTTATCATTCTGCATTACATTGTTGCATAATTTAATTATAAACAGAAGTACTCATATATGCAAGGTTATTGAACCAAGAAAACTTTTATGAAAAATTACCCATATTTTTCTCGTCTCTTTAACTAATTTCATCTCCTCTTCATTGTAACCATTTGACAGGACAGGTGCGTTATGTGAAAACAAGTTAAAAGCATACTGCAGGTTTAAAACAAAAAAGTTGTTGCACCAAGAATAACAATTAGATACAGAAAAGTTGCTTTCGGGAATGATTCGAGATACGTAACAAAACAGGAGAAGAGCACTTCAACAAACCTGCTGGTTAAAGATTTGACAGGTCGGCTTTTTTCCTTCCAAGACCTATTAACAAAAAAAAAAAAAAAACTCGTTAGATTCATCCAATAATGAAGTGATAAGATCAAAACATTGAAAAAGACAGGAAAGTACTTCACGAGTTTGCAGTTCAAGCTCTTCCATTGCTGCGGCACCTGCACCACTGGCTGCCTGGTATGTACTGACGACCATGCGCGTAACCTGCACACAAGTGTTAGCAATATCCAGAAAATAAGACTTAGTTCATGAAATAGTTTTAATCGTTTTTTCTAGTCGAAGTATTGAGGAAGAATGTTGAGAACAAATGATAAGTTTGAGTAATGCCCCTATGTTACTAAAACATGTGGGATATCATCGGCAACAAATTTGAGGTATTCTGAGAACTTACTGCTTTGGCAAAAGATAATTTGAAAACGTCAACATTTTCATGACTAATGAAACGAATAATCACGAGGCACGCTGTCACTTAAGTATATCGAATGAGGCAGTGCTGGATAGAGGTGAAAAAAAATACTTGAGATAGATTAATATCTTAATTCCTCGTTTGGTTGCCAAGATAGGATTAGCCAATATAAGATTAAATATATTGGACTTTCCAGGTCCAATGACAAAGCTGCATAAAAGGCAAGATAAGCCATGATAACCTAATATTTTCGGGTCGACCACAGAAGTTATTGGGTATACCAAACATCAAACAAAGTCCAATTATGTAGTTAATCATGGCTAATCTCCCCAACCAAACGAGGCCTTAAAGAGAAGAATTTCGCAATCTTCTCTGCCAAAAGAAAGTTCAATTCTAACACAAAGTATACCTTCATCCGAATACTATTAAACAGTTAAAGCCCATTTTCGAAGGTTCGATTAGTAAACCGAATACAGTTGATACTTGTTCTATACATATTGTTTCTCAATGTATACATCGAGCATCTGAACCGAAACTCAAGCTACAACCACATCTTCAACTCTATAAAATGGCTTGGCTAGATTGATTCTATACTACAATTAGAAGTTTAGGTCAAGATGAAATTACATACTTTGGCACGGCGATGCAGTGGCGTGGCAGCCATGAGGCAGATAATTGTCGAGCAATTCGGATTGGCGATAAGCGCGCCCTTCCCGGAATTGAGCTTGATTCCGGCCATGGCCTCGGGATTGACTTCAGGTATCACGAGCGGAATCCCGTCATCCATCCTAAAAGCCGAGCTATTGTCGACCACAATTGTGCCCTTGTCGACGGCTATAGGCCCAAACTTCTTGCTTATGCTCCCGCCGGCGCTGAATAGGGCAATGTCAACATCGTCGAAGCTGCTTTCCGTCAATTCCTCGACGGTGTAGTCTCGATTTTCGTAGGTGAGGGTTTTTCCGGCGGATCGTTTGGAGGCGAGTAGCTTGAGGGATCGGTAGGGGAAATCGCGGTCGGTGAGCACGGAGAGGAACTCCTGGCCGACGGCGCCGGTGACTCCGACGATGGCGACGGAGGGGCCGTCTTCCTTGAGGGACATGCGGACTGCGAACGGGCCGCCGTTGGAGATGCGGCTGGAGCGGGAAGGGGAGAAAGTGGTGGCATTGTGGAGGAAAGGCGTGGTGAGGTGGTGGTGGTGGTGGTTGAGGGAGAGTGTTGGGAGCTTCATTTTTTTTGCGGCGGCGGCGGGGTGGTGGCGGCGGCGGAGAATTGGAAATGGCGGTTTTTGTGTGTGTGTGTGTGTGTGTGTGTTGTAGTGGGTAGGGTTTAGAAATTGAATTAGAGCGCACGTCAGCAAAAACAAGGTGGTCAGCTGATTTACATTTAAAAATTACTAAAAAGGAAAGATCATTAACTTTAATTTCTTTGTTTTTTAATTATTAAATATTTATTAAATAAGAATTTGAAAATATGAAGGGGCAGTCAACTTTTAAGGGTGAACAGCTGTTTCATTAACACAATAATAAATAAACTTTTTTTTTGTTGTTGACTGTTATGAATATATTTTAGGGTAAATTACAAAAACCTCCTTAAACTTAGGCTACATTATAAAAAAAACTCCCCATATCCGTAATTACCAAAATCCCTCAACGTTTGTTTTCTTCTTACACCGACCCCCTTATGGTTTGATCTTCCAGTGAATATTTCCCGAAAATATACTGATTCTACCTCTAGGAACAGTTTCTTAAATATAGGTGGCCTTAGTAATACCTTCTGCAGCAACTTCATTATCTAAAACATCACATTGCAATGTCACTACACGTTATGGATTGCTAGTACCAACCATCATAGCATACATAGGCATTTTTTAAACATATGTGTATGGCTACCTTCAACATTTCTGTGTTTGTAGAGGTAGGATCGGTATTTTTCCGGGAATATTCTCTAGAATAAAAAAGATTCCACGAAAAAACACACCCTAAGGGGCCGGTGTAGACGGAAACAAACATCGGGGTTGTTTGATAATTACGGATAGATAGGGGTATGTTTATAATTTAACCTAAGTTCAAGGAGATTTTCATAATTTACCCTATATTTTATTTCCATGTGTATATGTATTCATGGAGCACCACAAAGATTATTGCAAATCCAAATAAAACCATTATTTTAGTGATTTAATACTAAAATTATTGCCCAAATCCCATAATACTAAGACAAGATCAAATAATATTTCACCTACAGTGACATTACAGACTTAATACAGCTTCAAGAGTTGTATATACACATCATTTATTTCATCATCTTTCTCTCTTATTTTTCTATATATATATATATATATATAGAAAAAATATATATATGTAGCTTAATATCAGTTTATTGAGTTAAGGCAATGATGATGAAATGAAATAAATCATGGAAAAAAATAATTAGTCATTCAACGGCTTTAACTCGACATCTTGAATAGGCACGAGTTTGGCTTTCCCACCGTAAATTTCTGGCAGGGCTTCTTCACCGATATCTCTAACGAGTTCTTTTTGTTCCTCTTCATTCGTCACTATCACAACCTGATTAAAAAAAATCGAGAAATTGTGAGTTCTCGAAAAAAATAAACTACTAATCCAAAAATCGGACCCTTTTTTTTTGCTACTTTTTTCTTTTTTTTAACTATTTTGATCAATAAGTTAAAAAAATTGTATTATCAATGTGTGTACCTTCTCAATAGTAGCTTTGTCAAGGAAACGCGACACTAATCTCCAAACGCGCACGAAAAATCCAGGCATGTGTACAATGTAACACTTGGCTAACCGCTCGGGGTAATACGACTAAATATGATGAAGAATGATTATTAATAGCGAATAATAAATAAATAAATTTTTATCGCAATAGAAATATTATTTTGGTTTTGTAAAAATTGCAGAAAAAAGAAACCAACACTTACTTGCAAGAACTGAAAACCGGTGATTAAACCACGAGCATCGACGTTTTTGTAGGACAGTTGTTGCAGATCAAGAATGCCTATCAATTTCTCGTTTCCTATTTCTTTGCCTTGAAAAGAACTGAAAAAATCGGAAGACGCAATTAAGAAATTCATTTTCATAATGTTAGATACATTGGCTTCGAGCCATGTATTACGATCGAGTAAACATTAATTAATATAATATAATATAATACCTTGCAATAGTCTTGTCGAGCAGATGAACCACAAATTCTGCACCATCAGAACGTAGTTGCATCAACAATTATGTTTTCGAGTCTTAACTAAGTCCAAATATTCCGACTAAATTCCGTTAATTAGTCCATAAAAACAAAATTCACAATATTTTACCGTAATTCAAACTGACCTCACAAAAGGCTATATATTATTATTGTCACTATTTTCAAAATTTCAGCACATGTCATGAACTAACACAAGTTAGCCCTACACCGATATTTATATTTCAACGAATTCGACAAAGGAACTACTTATAACAAATTAATTCACAAAATTATTAAAATCGAAAACTATAATATAGGTGCATTGCCGAAGATAATTGGACCGATTATCAACCAGGTCCCATGACAATTAAGTAAGTTAGTACATAAACAATTAACAAACTTTAGATTATTAGAATCAATTAACAACTATACATATCTATTTTATTCACATATTTTTTTTGGATAAATTGCACTTACCCCCCTTGTACTTTTATTACAGCACATGACCCCCTTGTATTTTAACATAAGCACATAACCTTCTTGTACTTTAAAAAATTTCCTCTTCCCCTAATGAGCATGATTATTTACCAACTGGAATACCATAGGGGGTTATGTGCTTATATTAAAAGTACAAGGGGGTCATGTGCAGAAAGCTCAAACTACAGGGGGTTAAGTGCTATTTACCCCCTTTTTTCTTTTTAAATTTTCTAGAGAGAGAAAAAATGATTACTCTTGAATTGAAGTTGATCCTTGGAAGGGAAATGCTTGTTGCCTTTGACAATCATAACTGGGAAACCTTTTCTTGATAGCCCCTGCAAATATATTTTCTCAGCACTTAGTTCATCTTCAACTTCACAATCAAGAATGCAATTTTGTGGCACAAATTCATCCCTCCATTTTCGCCATTCAACAAACATTTTTGCTCCCTTTATTGGATCTTTCGATCTTGCTTTCAAGAATCTCATCAGGGTTTCATCCCCATAACCCTAAAAAAAAAAAAAAAAAAAAAACCCTTTTTCATAATTTAAAAAAAAAAAGAAAGAAAAATTCAAATAATTTGATGGAAACACTAACCTCAGTGGAAGAACCAAGCTTTTGAACTGATTCCCTCATCTGGGCTAATGCCAATTCTTGATTTTGATCCATTTTTTTTTTTATTTTGTTGCTAATTATTACAATTTGAGAAATGGTAGAAATATGAGTTCTTGGTCTATAAGGAAAAGTATTTCATTGATTTATCGTTGAAGAAAAATGGAGTCTTGGAAGGTTCGAAGATGGTGTTTGAGTTGCAAAGGTGTATGTGTGTTTTGTGGACAAGAAAAAAAAGAATTTTGTTTTTTAAATATTTTGTGATGTAAATAATAATATTAAATTGATGGCATTCAATGTAGAAATAATAGATGTTATCTTCCTCTCTTTTAATAGCTTATTTATTGGATCAATTGAAAGGAAGATCCAATCTCTAACAAACGAATCTTTTATTGTTGTTTCTGCAGAAATTATTGCAAAACTCACCAATTTAACTCATTATTATTTATAGCCTTATGATAGATACAAAAATAAGTTGAATATTTATATTTGGAGGGTGTTTGATAGAGATGATATTAGAAAATTTTAAAGCTAAAAATATTAAATTTTGAAATAATTCAAAATGAATCAAGAGATCATCTAAATGAAATAAACTAAGGTTTTTTTTTTTTTTTTTTTTTTGTTCTAGAAATGAAGGAATTTACACCCAATCATATAAGTGCATAGGGTAAACCTACACTCTCGTAAAATATCTTGCAAACCATACGAAAAACGTAATTACACTAGGCTGATCACGTATGACAAGCTCGATCTGACAATCATGACAAGGAGATTCGAACTTGAGTTAACTGACACAAGCTCGCTTGCTCCAAGTCTCCAACCACCAGATCATCCCTTACGAGAACACATTATATCATTGTTTGATACCATATATTCAATTGTATAGGATGTGAAATATTTGAAATCTTACCCTCAATGTGGGATTCATTATCAAATAAATTTTTGGAGTATTGAGCTTCAATATTAAGCTATTAATTGAAAAGTTGATATTAATTACTAATATATTAAAATTAAAGTCAAACATATCAAAGGAGGAGTATTTATATAATATTGAACTTCAAATTAAAGCTACTAAATGAAAGGTTGGTGTGAATTAACTCCATATATTAAAGTCAAATACCTATCAAATGTGGCCTATTTATATGGAGTAATGTTTAGGGCAAGGCCGCATTGGTCAATTCTAGTGAATTTTCCAGTTTAATGACTAGGACCGGCAATTGAGTAGTCAATTTTATTTTATCGAACTCGAAAAGTTTATGAATTGAGTTTGAGCTTATGGTAACTCAACCCAATAAAACCCGATCGAACAAAAAAATTAAATATTTATTAAACTTACTATTTGACATATTAATTAATATTTATTGCATACAATTAACACTAGTCGACGAAAACACTCCGGTGCTAAATGAAAATTTGAACTTACATACATTCATCTTGCTTATATGTATGATACATCATTTTTTTATTCTCTAATTTTATTTTATTTTATATTTTATTTTCACTTTTATTCATAAATAAAACAGTAATAAATTTATAAATTAGTGATCCAATGGGTTTAGCTTGAAATCCTGAAGAAGAATGAGTTTGGCTAGGCCACCATACTCTTCCGGCAGAGCTTCTTCTCCGATATCCCGAACAAATTCTCTTCTTTCCTCTTCATTTGTCACTATCACAATCTACATTGATCCGGATTAATTAACACATATTTTATTTTTTATTTTTTTCATTTTATTAAGATAATTCTATTTGTTAAATAAGATATTTACGTACCTTTTCTAAAGTAGCCTTGTCAAGAAATCGAGAAACCAATTTCCAAACACGCACGAAAAAACCGGGCATGTGTAGCAGGTAACACTTGGCTAATCGCTCCGGATAATACGACTTTTTTTTTTTTTAATAAATATCATTGTTGAATAAATAAATGCATTAGTAGAAATTAATGAATACAATAAATGGCAGTAGAAGGATTTATTTAGTAGCTGCATGGGAATTAAAGTTAAACTACTTACTTGCAATAACTGAAAACCAGTGATCATAGCACGCGAGTCGATATTTTTGTAGGAAAGTTGTTGCAGATCAAGAATGGCGGTCATCTTTTCGTTCCCTATTTCTTTGCCTCTAAAAGCACTAAAAAAATCAAAACAAACTCAGATTCAGAATAAGAAAGCAAATCCGGTACCCTATTATATATAAAATATATATATATTTATATACCTAGCAATGGATTTGTCGAGTATATGAACCACGAATTCTGCACCACCGAAAAAAGGCGTCATTCATCGAACAAATTTTTTTGATGTTACGAACTACTAAGATATGTATACTGTTTAAATAGGGTGTGGCATGTGATTCCAAATCAACAAATCAAGGCTTTATTTAGATTAAATGATTTGAAACGATCGAACGGATTTAAAATGATTTTGAAAATTCACCACAAATTGCTTAAAAATTAACTCGACATGAGAAGTAAGAGTTTTGAATTGCATCGTCAAATGACACATTCGAAACAGTTCAATGAATTTGCTATTATGGATTTGAACCCCTCATCCAAATATATTGTAATTTGTAAATGATTCAAATCTCTACTAACTTAAACTATTTGATGAGATTTATACGTGTTCACTCAAAAACTATTAGCCCAAAATAGTTACGTTCAAAACTGGCTGAACGACCACCTTAACCAAAAGTTTAAACTATTAATGAAATGTATCATTTAATATTAACTATCAGAACACACAAAACACACACACAGATACACACGAAAAAAAAGAAGAGGGAGAGAAGAAAATATGAATATTACTCTTGAATTGAAGTTGATCGTTGCCGGAGATATGCTTGTTGCCTTTGACTAGTACAACCGGGTGCCCTTTTCTTGATAATCCTTGCAAATAGACTTTTTCGGCACTTAATTCGTCTTCGACTTCAGAATCAAGAATGCAGTTTCGGGGCACGAAATCGGACCTCCATTTCTGCCATTGCACAAACATCTTTGCAGCTTTATCTTTGTCTAGTGATCTTGCAATCAAGAATCTCATCAGTGTAGCATCTCCATATCTCTGCAAATAAAAAAAAATCAATAATAATTCCTATCACTAATTATCATAATTCCAGCTTAATATATAAGAATGAAACACTAACCAACCTCAGTGGAAGAACCAAGTTTATTAACTGCTTCCCTCATCTGGGCTACTGTCAATTCTTCATTTCGCTCCATTTCTTATTCTCGGAGAGAGAGAGAGAGAGAGTAACGACTAATGGTGTTTGATAGAAGTGAACAGCAGATATGAAGACGCGGTTTTTTTTTTCAGTTGTTGATTTGATTGATAACGAAAAAAGTTGACTTACCTATTTCAAGTAATGCAAGTAATGGAGCTAAGGGTAGGTTGGGCAAATGACCCTAGCCATCCCAGCAAAATTAACTACCTATTTCATGCGTTTATTACAAATAGGAGTGCAAGTTGGAACTGAAATTCCAATTTCCGGCGCTTTCGATACAAAATGTTCCAATTTTTCATTCCAACTTCCAAAATTCCAATATTTTATATTGGAATTGAAATTATAAAAAAAAAATTAAAGAAAAAAAAACAAACAAACTAGAATTTCCGATCCAATTTAATTTTCGAAATTAATTCCGAAAAATTCCGATTGTTTTCCTTCCTATAAATAATATATATTATGTAATACTTATTTTAATTTTTTGTTTTTGTTTTCTGAAACACTAATTTGATTTAATATTTTGTTATAGAATTTTGACCTATTAAAATGTTGTTACAAGTTTTATTGGATATTATGATGTGGTTTATTTTATTTTGAATTGAAATTTAGTAGTGTTATTAGTTTTACGTTTATAAATAAATCAAGACACGTTTTACAAATAAATATATTTCATCAAAGTCACATTTCTATATAAATTATTTCTGAAAATTGGATTCATGAAGTCAAGTGGATTTTAATACTACAATAAACAGCAGAACAGATCACGAATGGAGTCAATCGAATTAAGGATAGCTCTTTTTTTCTTTTTAGAAAAAAAATGGCGATCGTATTGGATTTTTAAGGCACACTCGATCCCTTTTTATTAAAAACAAATAAAATATAAATTGATGTTTTTTTTTTCATTTTGTAATTTAAAAACAGGGTAAATTACAATAAACCCCGTGAAGTTTGTTGTCTTCTTACAATCACCCCCGGTCTTTTAGATGCTATGCCTGATAAAATACATCGAGTAATTATTAACTGTTGATATGGTGAAATTCAAATAACTCCCCATTAAGCACACATACACACGGGTGTATGTGTGTGATTGTGTGCAGATCAACGGTTAATTATCACACGGTTTATTTCACCGGGTGTAGCATCAAACAAACCCATCGCCCCCCAATAAAGTGATTTTGACGGATTTTTTTTTTCTTCAAAAAATACCAATGTTACCCTTAGGGGTAATTGTGGTATTATTATTTTTTGGGCATAATTGTAATATATATGTTTTTGGAATAAAATGAAACTATGTACATCAACATGAATGCAAGTCCTGAGTAGTAACTTAACTATATACATCTGCTAGAAACTATGTAAATGAATAACATCTGAATTTTGGAGCTAGCAATTACACAAATGAATAATATTACAAATCTTCAACCAAACTTATTGCCTAAAGTCTAGCTGGAAAAAGCTATTTTAATATTTGCATGGAAAGTCGTGGTTTCAAATAGTCGGACAACATTCGGTAACCATCCCCTAGCACTTCACGACTGAAAAGGCGCCCAGACAAGCTGTATCTAGAGTCGAACTTCAATTAATTGAATAAGCACGTAACTCGTAAGTAAGATAAATCTGAACTATCTTCAATTATTAAATGTCACGATATACATTTCAAAACGAAATAAAATGCGCTCTATCATGTGATTTTTAGTTCGAGCTCGACATCGAACTCAAGTTATACGTGGGCTGCCTATGCTATATCACGATTGTATGCAAGTCTACTAGCATGAAGTGGTGTGAGAGACTCACTTCAACATTTTCACTAAATAAATAAACGGAAACCTTAAAGAAGACAGAGAGGAATTTTACCTAGTCGGAGAAAACACTCATCAGATCGTTTGGAGGAAGGTGCTGCTGTACTGGGATTCCCATTCTTACGTTTTCCGCAAAACCCAAATTTGGTTCCTGCTTCACTTTGCTGCCATTATTCTGAACATAAAGTCTCACTTGACTTGTGCTGCTCATTGCGGCGATTTCCTGTTCATCCACGGCAAAGCGGCTAGGTATAGAATTCCTGGTCGATCGTTGCATACAGTTCATGTTAGGAACCTGCAGTACGGAGCTGATTGTGGAGGGCGAACTTGGAACTCGTTGAACATTTCTCGAGCAAGATGACATTGACGAAACAGACTCGGAAGGCGTGCCCACTGGTTTACATTCTCTTTCCAAGACTTGTAATCCTGATGAGTTGCTCGTTTGAAGTAAGGGATTGTTGTAATCCATTGCAGAATAACTAAAGCTGCAATTTTGATTATTTCCCGCTTGAAAATTGGGGGGAGACACCAAGCAAGAAGGTTGCACATTTATTGAATGGATCGACTCTTGTGTTATAGATTGTCTCTGCTGATGTTGTTGCTGTAAGAAAGTTATCAACGTATTACTGTTTGTTTCAACGAGGTTGCAACTTGATACCGAGTAGTTAACATCCTCATTGGACATAAGATGCTGAGAAGTTTGATTGGCGATGTTGGACGAGCATCTATTCAGAGGTTGACAATAAGACACATTTTTATCCACGTGACTGTTTTTAGATTCTTGAAGAGATGAATGTAGTAAAGTTCTCTGATCCATTGCTGGCAGAATTAGGTTTCCTGTCGGCCGAGAGAAAAGCTCAGCCTGTAAAGCTGCCAATGTTTGTGGCGGAAGTTGGCCGGAAGCTGCCAATGCTTGAATATCAAATCTTCCAAGGGAAGCAAGTCTCAGGTTCTGCTCAACTGGCCCACAATAAGTAGGAAGGCCACCCTGTTGTTGAGCTACCCCACTCAACCTCTTTAGATATAGTCTAAACTTCTGCACGTTGACATAATAATACTAAGAAATGAGATAAGGACGAGGAGTTAATCAAAAAACGATAATATATCAAACAAAAAAAAAGTGGTTTGAGTAATAAAACGCGGTAGACTATATAATCCCACTTTATCACATGTACGTCTCTTGATGCAAAAAGACGTACATTTTATTTTCGCTAAGGGGGTCAACATTAAAAAAAATAAAAGTACATTTTGTTGGGCTGTTTCTTCCTCATCCTTCGGTTTTTTTTCTCTTCTCATTTCATCCTTTTTTTTTTACTTTCCTCATAATATATGCAATTGAATTAATTAATACTAAATTAGTTTGCGTGTAGAATCAAGGATGAAATGATTTAAAATGTGGGGTGTTACAAGTTCCCTTGGAATAGAAACTGCAAGATCTATGCTATGTTTTTCTTTTTTTTTTTGTAATAGTTATTCAACTAGTGTAAATGGTTCAAAAACTTTAAATTGAAGAGGAACTACCGGTATCAGATTCATATTCACAATTTAAATATTTAAAAAGAAGAAAGGTTCATAATACAGCCTCCATACTACACTTTTAGATTTAATTTGAATATGCTTGAAGGTTTAGATGAAAGTTGAAGAGGTGTAAATGTACACAAAAGATCCTCGAAAGTAATGGTCGAAATTTAAAAATGATGCATCATTTCTTCAAAATGCGAGGATGCTATTGAGAAAAAAAATTCAGTTTAGGAAATGGAGATTATCTTAAGACATCCCTAAATGGAAATGAAAGCAACGACAAAATGGAGTGTTATATTAATGAAGTAGGTCAAAAAAGGAAGAACATGCCAGATTCACACTGAAGTAGGAGAACGGTTGTCGAAAGAAATCATGCTTTCATATAAACTAGCCATTATAAATTAAGCTTTGGAAGTTGGTACTTTCTTCGCTATTCAAAGAAGAAAAGGGATCGGAAGAAAATCTATATTAAGCTCGGCATTTACTTATTCTCCAATCCTCTTTTCCATATTCTTATTTAAAAGGAGCAGAAGGCAGAAACATGAGAAAAAATGAAAGACTAAGGTGAGGAAGAAAAGAGACCTGTAAATGACTAGCCACATTCTCCCTTGATAATCCGGGAACATTCATCAATTCAAGAATTCTCTTCGGTACAGCCTCTGCGAGGACCCAAAACATAGCATTAAAATAATATAAATAAAAACATATACGAGGCACAGTAAGAGTGCATACTGTCAATTCCGAGTTGATTCACAGCACCAACAAATTGCTGATGGAGCTCTACGGACCAGACCACACGAGGTTTCTTTGAAGCAGGATCATCTTCCAATTCCGTGTCATCTTCATCTCTACACTCTCTCCTTTTCTTTTGTGTCTTGAATACCTCATCTTCACCTTCATTCGCAGAAGAAGCACATTCCGCATCATCAATCGCTCGTTTTTCACGATCGCGGTCTTCAATGCTACCCGAAGGATTGATTTCATTCCTCCTTTTCCTAAGTACATGCTGCCAAATATTCTTCAATTCTTCATCCCTTATAGGCTTAATTAAGTAATCACAGGCCCCGTGCCTTATTCCTCGCATGACGAGGTTAGTTCGCCCATCAGCTGACATCACTGCACAACAGAAAAACGTACATAATGTTTAGTTTTACGATAACCAAAACATTTAAATCCTCGTTCGACACGACAAGAACGCATCACTCACTTATAACAGGAAGGTCCATTTCCAAACCGACTAGCTCGAGAAGTCTGAAACCATCCATATCAGGCATGTGAACATCGCTCAGCACTACATCGAAACAGCCTTTCCTTTCCCGTAACAAGTTCAACGCAACGGTAGCTTGTGAACAGCTCGTGACTGCAATAAATACAAACACCTTCAAATAATTAACCCATACATGAGGCAGTGACTAAACAATTGAAAGAGTTCATAGTGAATTAAAATTTGGAAGAAAAGCAAATCGGTACAATAAAAACAACTAAATCCAGAAGGAAGCAAAAATTCAGTAGCCAAATTGAAAAATTCAGTAGTAACTAGTAACTAACCCTGGTACATGCACTTCCGAAGCATTTGCTCGAGAACACGGAGGCAGATGACGTCATCGTCCACGACTAAAACCCTAAGCCCCACCGGAAACTGCTCTGGCACCACCGACTTCCCGCCGGTTGTGCACGCCATTGGAGCCCTACCAAAACCCGCCCTAATTTCACACACGCAGAAAATCGAAACCACCAAAAATTGACAGCACAATCGGGTGCGATCGAGGGTTAGGAAGGTTGAAGAAAGAGATCTGAATTGAAGTGGAGGAGAAAAGTGAGGGAAATTTTGCAGAAACGGAGGCAATGATTGAGGATTGATGGAAAGATGAGAGAGAGAGGAGAGAGAAAGAGAGAGAGAGAGAGAGATTGATTGGGGGAATTGAGTAATGATTTAAATAGTGTGGAAGGATAAAGCGGAAGATGGAGAAGGAAACTGCATTAAAGCTGTCCGTATTTAGTACTGCTTCTATACAATCTTCTTTCTAGTTTATATTGTATATTTGTACGTATTATATGCTGCTGCTGCTACTTACCTTAGTTTTTTCATAATTATTTCATCCAAGGCCAATTTTTATAAGAGAAAATACATATAGTAAATTTGAGATACAGTTAAACCGCTTAAATTCAACGGTAAATTACGGTCACTTTCCTGAGTTGAGGTCAAATTACGAAAACTTCTCTTTCGTTTGAATAATTACAGTGAACACCCCTTCACTATATATTATCTTACGAAAACACTCCTCAAGGGGTAAATTTAGGAATGTTAAATCAGTAACACCGATCTGAAATTTTAGTACGCCAACATTTCATACCGTTTATCGAACTGAATATACGATTTTGTATGGTAAATAACTGAATTACATCAATTTTATGTAAAAATATTTATTAGGAGAGGTGGATGTAATTACCCAAACAAGAGGGGTTTTTTCGTAGTTCGACCATACATCAGGGGTGGCCGTAATTTACCCTAAATTCAATTGAGATATAGCAAAATGAGTTTTTTTTAAGTCCTGTAAATCTACTAGTTGAGAATTTTAGTTCACCATATTTCGAAATCAGAATTTTACTCTTGTAAATTATAAAAGTTGAGAATTTTAATCATGCAAGTTACAATGTTATACATTGTAATACGACCAAAATTCTCAACTTTTATAACTCCATAACTAAAATTCTAACTTTTTTTATAGTAAACTAAAACTCTCACCTAGTAAACTTACATGAATAAAAAACTCATTTTACCTAAGCGATAAATAAAATTTAAAATAAATCACACCATTTGAAACAAAAGTATAATATGGGCTCAAACTTTGGAATGGATGGCTAAATTTGGATCATATATATAAGTGCAAAGTTTTGGACCTTAGCTTGTACCTTATCTTCCCCAAATACTAAAAAAGTTCCCTTTATCTTCTTCAATTTCTATTATTATTTAATCAATTCCCAATTTTAATTCCCCATGTTAAATCAATTGGGAAAATGGAATTCAAATTCGTTACTAATTCCTCTTCAATTAAATTATTCCAGCACACTCTCTTTCAGCAGTCCATCACTACTCCATTACAATACTATTTCTCCATTAATAATCTCCGCCGCGAACTCTCTGCAAATACGAAAAGCTTCTGAAACGACGACGTTTCGTGCAAGAAGGAGAGTGATATACGAAGAAGAAGAAGAAGAAGAAGATTATGGTTATAATGAAGAGATAGCGGTTTTGGAATCTTATAGCCAGTTGATGAAAGATGAGATTCTGTTGGTTCAGGCTATGGTGGATCAAGAACTAGTTCAAGTTCTCATCTTCAAGGTACTATTTTTTATTGCATTATCGTTTTATTATTTTATTGACTTACGTACACGTAATAATTATGAAATGCTATTTACGGTTACAAAATTGTTATTTGCGGTTTTTCATAAAACCGCCCAAAACTTTCCAAAAAAATCAAAAAACCCCCCAAATTGCAAATAGCGAAAAAAAAAAAAATCGAAAATTCAAAATCAAGCTTGAAGAAGGGTTGGACTTCGATTTTTTGATGTAATTTCGACTCTTTTATGTGTAATATGCATTGGGTAGGCGATTACGGAACCAATTTCATATTAAAAAGCCCTACAAATCGATTTGTAGGGCTTTTTTTTCGCAAAAAAATGTTCGAACGGCCAAGTTGGGCGCCCAAGGCGTGTACGAATGCCCGTCCCCATCTTGGGCGTTCGAACATTTAAAAAAAAAAAAAAAATTGTTTGCACTGGACGTCCAACTCGGGCGCCCAAATGCAGCTTGCACGCCCAACTTGGGCGTGCACTGCATGAATGGGCGCCCAAGTTGGGCTTTTACGCGTTTTGGGGGGGTTTTTGGATTTTTTTGGGAAGTTTTGGGGTTTTAGTGAAATAAAGTGTTTTTTGTTATAAACCGCAAATAGCAATTTTCGAACCGCAAATAGCAATTCCCTAATAATTTTATATTTGTGTTTGTGTGTGTGTGTTTTTTTGAAAATGTGCATATATTATGTTGGTTTTGTTATATGTAAACTAGGGATGGATGTAAACGAGCCGAATTTGGCTGTTTTGACGAGCTCGAGCTCTTTGAATATCGTTTTTTTGGGCTCGAGCTCGATCTAGCTAGTCGAGCTTGAGCCTGAGTCATCTTGCGTATTTATATTTATTTATTTTTTTACTTTTTATTAATGTTATTAGAATTTTATTATTATAAATCATAATAAAAAATTCGAAAAAAATAAATAAATGACATGTTATTTATTATTTGTATTATTTATATCAATTTATTATTTAATTTAATTCAATTAATAAAATCATTTTGGTATATTTAGTATATGGGATAAGATTAATTGTAAAATAAATGCATACTTAATTAAATGAATTTGATTTGATAACAGGGATTTTCATCTTGCCTGAGTTCAAGGACATATTCAGATCTTTCTAGAAGTGTTCTTCCAACAAGGGCAGTCATCAAAAGCATAGACAGAGCAAAAGGTCCATTTGATCCCTCCAACATTCAATACATTGAGAAGGGACTCACTTTTCATGTTTTTAAGACTCGCCTCAACCTCCCTAATTGAGAAATAATCAAATTCGAATTATGTCGCTAACGATCACTGTGTCGAGTTTGTCATACATCGTTAGCTTAGTATGACTTCCGTCTCTTTTCTGGTTTACAAGCAATTATACGAGAGTTTAGGTTTACTCAATGCACTTTTTTACTTTCTCTAACGAGCTATTAAGTGATTTTCTGTTAATAAGTTATTTATGTTTAGATACTAGTACAAAATATCATTAAGTTTGTGTATGCTTCTATACAATTAGATACGAAAATTATCTATTCCGGTAAAAAATGTTTTTTTAAAAGTACATTTATTTTCTCTTATGTTAAAAAAATTGTAAAATATTATTAAAAGGTTTTTAAAATATAATAAGTAATAATCATAAGGTATATATATATATATATATATATATATATATATATATGATAAAATCCATAATTTGAATAATTACTTATATAATAAATATTGTATATATTTTTTTTAGGGTAAATTACAAACACCCCCTGAGGTATGGTGAAATTACAAAAACACCCCTCTTGTTTGGATAATTACAACCACCCCCTCAGCTCTTTAAATTTAGTTGAATCTTCGAGATTATATGAAATATTATCACTTTTGTACCCGTTTTATACCATTCAAACTCTACATTATGAAGTAAGATGATCATAATATGTGATTTTTAGCTTGTGTATATTAGTTTGTAGTGCATCGAAAACTGTATTTTTACACAAAACGAATACAAACTAGAGCACATTCCACGGAATCTAGATGATTATATTGAATTTGGCACAATAAGGGTGGAAGTGTAAGAAAAAATCATAGTTGAGGGGGGTAGATGTAATTATCCAAACAATAGGGGGTTTTTTGTAATTTGACCATACCTCAGGGGGTGTTTGTAATTTACCCTTTTTTTTAATAAAACAAAAGAATTTCATATAAAAAAAATAAGTGAACACATTCAATCAATATGGATGAGTTTGACCTGGACTGGACAGCCCAACAAATAATTTAGACTGGACAGCCCAACAGATACTCTAATCCGATTGTTGATTTGAAATAATTGGAATTAAAACTATTTTCAATAAAATAATATAAAAATAATACCGCGTTTGAATAGATCACAAATAAATAATATAATAACTATCTTATCGGTTTGGTTGCCAAAATAAAATTAGCATACATAAGATAATTATATGTATTATTGATATATTTTAGCGTAAATGGCGTGCACCGTTTGAGGTAATGTCAAATTACAAGAAAACATCTAATGTTTGAGTAATTACAACCACACCCTTCCACTATGAATCTTTTTACACGTCCACCCTTATGGTGTCAAATTCAACAGAATCGTATAGATATTCTGTAGAATGTTCTTTAGTTTGTACTCGGTTTGTGCAAAAATGCAGTTACTGATGCACCATAATATGATATTTACAAGCCAAGAGACACATCTTACGATCATCTTGTTTCAAAATATGGAGCTCGAATGGGGTAAAACGGGTACAAACTGAAGAATATTCAACATTATCTAGAAGATTCAAAGTTGAAGGGGGTGCTTGTAATTACCCAAACATGAAGGAAGGATTGTTTAGTAATTTGTTCTAAATTACGTGAAATGTTCTCTAGTTTATACTCGTTTTGTGCAAAAATGCAGTTACTGATACACCACAATCCGATATTTACAAGTTAAGACGCACATCTTACGATCATCTTGTTTCAAAATGTGGAACTCAAATATGGTAAAACGGGTACAAACTGAAGAATATTCAACATTATCTAGAAAATTCCACTAAATTTGAAGAAGATTCAAAGTTGAAGAGAGTACTTGTAATTACCTAAACATGAAGGGCTGTTTCGTAGTTTGACTTTATTTCAGGAGTGACCGTAACGTATCCTATTTTCTAAGGAAAAAAAAAAAAGAAAAAAGAAAATAAAAAAAAAATTATTTTATTTTTCAAAAAAACAAATGAAAATGGGCTTAGAAAAATATCCAAAAATATCTAGAGCTGAGTTAGGGTGGGGCCACACCCAATCGGGAGCGGCCAGTTGCGTTCCATATTCAGATTTGAAGAGCATAATAAATATCTTCCTCAATAAAGCACGTGACGTGGACGATCCCCTGTGGCGTGTTCGGTTTAGATATTTTCCCCACACCCAAATACGTATACTTTTGTATTTTACGATAAATATCTTTCCATCTCCGCCTTCCCAACTGTACCCCTAATACCTTCACCAAATTACCAAATGCCATTTCTAACTTGTTTACTCCACACAAGAGAAAGTGACCCAACTATTTTGCCCAAATTAGTTGTTAATTGTTATAAGATAAATGATAAATACATGACGAGTTTTAGTAAATGCAGGTCATTTTTCTAAATTTAATTTTTAATCTCGTTCCACTCATTTGTCATCTTTTAACTTTATTGTTCTAAATAAAATTCATACATTTTGCTCTTATATTTAAATTTATAACGTAGTGTTGAATTTCTAAATTTAACCCTTTTTTTAATTTTAGAATTAAATTAGGAAAAAATCACTAACTCAATTTCTATTTAGAGTGGAGATTTGAGTGATTTTTGTAGATTAAAAACACAAAAATATAGTGGAAAAGTTCGATCTAAAAAAAATTCAGAAATTCAGAAAACGAGAGTTTGCAGTAGACACTATCTAGTCTGAGTTATGCTAAAATATGATAAATTCGTATTTTGATGATTAGTAAATACACTATCTAAATAGGGTTGGTGCTAAATTTTAATTTATTGATTAAAATGTACTATGTTTACTAAAAGGCGGTACTGTATTTATCAAGTCCCTTGTTACAAATATAATATAATTTAAATAAAAATTAGAAAGAAACATTATAAGATTAGAAAGTGGTGGTGGACATAGAAGAAAAGACCAAATAGAGGATAGAGTCATGCTATTGGACCAACTGCCTTTGTATGACAATGTTTTGTTTAATAAGAACGTGGGCCAATAGTTTTCATCATAATCAAAATAATTATGTCAAACTACCTATAATACAAAAAACAATCTTCTACTTAATTTAAATAATCAGCCACTCACAAAATCCTATGTTTCACACTCACTGGACGGTGTAGTGGGCCAAACGACAAGCATGTGTGTCTACTAGTGTTCATTAAAATTATAAAAAAAAAAAAAAAAAAAAAAAAAGACTTTTTATAGTTCAAAATTCAAATATTCAAGATTTAGAATCTGAAATGCTAATTGCTGCACGACTTTTACTGGTAGCAGTGGGATTTTGGTTATTATTTCAAAACACTCCTAAAAATTTGAGATTTCTCTCTACTTTCACATTTTCGATCTTTTGAGATTTTGAAACTCGTTTTGCAAATATTTTCAACGAACAACAACAATGTCAATTACGGATTAGGATTACAATTATAAGGTAAGAATAAGTTGTTCGATATTTTTTTTGTGAATTTTTTTTTTGTTGAACACGAAATTGGAAGAAATTGCAGTAAGAAATTTAAATATGAAGTTAAATTTAAAATTTATCTTAAAAGTTACAAGTCATAACCATATATTTGATTATTAAATTGGAAATACTTAACTCAAAGTTCTTTAGCCTAAAAAATGCAATTTCATAAAATACATGCATATAAATTATTCATATTTACAACTATATGTGTAATTATTATATGTAATTAAATATGGAAACCATCCCACGTAATCGAAAATTAATAGAAGGCATTGTCCAAATGGCAAGTGCGGAGGCGTTTTCGTAATTAACTACTCAAAATCGTCTAATTTCGCAACCATCCAAGGAAGATATATATTATAGCTCGTAGAACCAGTAGTAGTAGAATATATATATATTTATAAATACACACAAATCACAATACTTCAATTTACTTGCAGCAGAGAGAGAAAGAGATATGGGTGTGAGAAAGAGCGAAGAAACAGAAGAACAACGGCAAAACATGTACCTCAAGCGGCTGAAGTGCGGCGATGACGTGGACAGGGATATGGAGCTGGAATTAGCTTCACGTGAGCCTCACCGGTTGTTCCACGCGCCGGCCGCGATGCCGACGGCGATCGTTGTTTCCGATGCGATGGAATCAGATTTTCCGGTCATATACGTCAACACAATCTTCGAATTCTCCACCGGATTTCGCGCCGACGAAGTCCTCGGTCGCAACTGGTAAATAATTTGTGCGCGTTAGATTTTTCTGCATTTATTTTTTTGGACTAAATTCGCCGTGAATCTGTTGATTGCTTGGGAGAAATTGAGGTTTATGCATATTTTTAGGGGAAAAAAAATAAGAAAATGAAATTGGAGTTTATGTTGATAAGAAATGCATAATTGGTATGTTTTTGCTGATGATGATTCAAAATCGGAACAATATATACATAATGCTAACATATACATACATACATTCTCATTCAATTCAGCCGCTTCCTCCAATACCGAGACCCACGCGCCAAGAGACGGCATCCGTTAGTGGATCCCGTCGTAGTTTCCGAGATCCGGAGATGCCTCGAGGAAGGCATCGAGTTCCAAGGCGAGCTTCTCAACTTCAAAAAGGACGGCACGCCAATCGTCAACAGCCTCCGCCTCAAGCCAATCCACAGCGACGACGGCTTCGTAACTCACGTGATAGGCATCCAGATATTCTCCGAAGCCAAAGTAGACCTCAGCAGCATCTCGTATCCGGTGTACAAAGAAACATATCAACAAAATGAGCCCTTCCAAATCGGTGGTGATTACATGAATGGAATATTGCCACCGCACGGCCAATTCGAGGAAATGTGCTATCTACTCAACCTGTCGGACGAAGTGATAGCTCAGAATATTCTGCCACGGTTAATGCCGAGAGACGTTGCGTCGATTGGTTCCGTCTGTAGAAGGATCAGGCAGTTGACGAAAAACGAACACGTGAGGAAAATGGTGTGCCAAAATGCGTGGGGGAGGGATGTAACGGGCGGACTTGAATTGATGACGGATAAGTTAGGGTGGGGCCGTTTGGCGAGGGAGCTTACTACGCTAGAAGCAATTTGCTGGAAGAGATTCACGGTCCGAGGTGCGGTGGAGCCGTCGCGGTGCAACTTCAGTGCTTGTGCTGCTGGAAATAGACTTGTTCTCTTCGGCGGTGAAGGTGCAAATATGCAGCCGATGGACGATACTTTTGTACTAAATCTCGACTGTGTGAATCCAGAGTGGCGGAAGGTGGTGGTCAAAGCTTCTCCACCGGGGAGGTGGGGCCACACGCTCTCGTGCCTCAACGGTTCTTGGTTGGTGGTTTTCGGTGGATGCGGGAGACAAGGATTGTTAAATGACGTATTTGTCCTCGACTTGGACGCGAAATACCCGACTTGGAAACAAGTCTTCGGCCGGGGCCCACCATTGCCTCGCTCGTGGCATAGCTCGTGCACGCTCGAGGGGTCTAAGTTAGTAGTCTCGGGTGGATGCACTGACGCGGGTGTTCTTTTGAGCGACACTTTCTTGCTGGATTTGAAGATGGAGAAGCCTATCTGGAAGGAAATAATTTCTTTGTGGACCCCACCCGCGAGGTTAGGGCACTCACTCTCTGTGTACGGACGAACAGAGATTTTAATGTTCGGCGGGCTCGCGAAAACGGGGCATTTACAGCTTCGGTCGGGGGATGCTTACACGATTGATCTCGAGGAGGAGAAGCCGCTGTGGAGGCAGCTAGAGTGTGGGGGTCTGACAAGTGGCGGGGGTCAAAATGCGGTGGTTCCGCCCCCGAGATTGGATCATGTGGCGGTGACTATGCCATGTGGGCGGGTGATTATATTCGGTGGGTCGATATCGGGGCTTCATTCGCCGTCGCAGCTGTTTCTGTTGGACCCGGCGGAGGAGAAGCCGACTTGGAGGGCGGTGAATGTGCCAGGTCAGCCGCCGAAGTTTGCGTGGGGCCACGGTACGTGCGTAGTTATGGGGACGAGGGTTTTGGTGTTGGGAGGGCACACTGGGGAAGAGTGGATTCTTAGTGAGTTGCATGAGTTGTGCTTGGCTAGCAGGCAGGATTCTGATTTGCTGAGTCTGGGTGAATGGTGATTGACTGCTTTTATGTAGTGTATTTATTTGTTTTACTGTTGGTTTTGAAGATAAAATAGCTGGCAATTTCGATTTTTTCTGTTCCAGATTGTAATTTTGGTTTGGGAGTTTCCTGCAAATTATTTGTTTCTCTAAGATGTAAAAACTTGCATTAGAATATGCACAAATTGTCGATTATGTGATTATGTTCCACGTAAATGTATCACATGTAGAAACGGCGAACTTCGTAAATTCACGCACTTCCGAATAACAGGTATCTGTATATGATATAAAACTCTCCATGGAGAAAAAATTGTAAATGTTGATAACCAGAATAAGCAGAGAACAATATCATCAAAATCTTACCACCTAAAAGAAAGAATTAAATAAGATGAGACACGTATGAATCCATCCGTACATCAAGGAGGACAGATGTATTATCCCAGGGGGGAAAAGAAAAAATGTAAAAAGCCTCACTGGCAGATCAGCTATATTTCCAATCCTTGTATGCTAAAAAATCGAAAGTGCGTATCATGTTCGGATCCTCCATAATCTCAAGTGCAAAGAGAATAAGCCGCCAATCTAGGATTAGAGATATGTACCACGAAAAAGAATTGATTTTATTCGAGACGAGGCCTTCATCACTTCCATGCGACCGAGTCGATTTCGTCGCGGGCTGATTTGTACAGTTCGAGCCTTTTGGCTATACTCTCCCTCTTGGCCATGAGTGATGGATCTTCATCCAACATCTTACCAAGTTGTTCTTTCTACACACGCATTACAAAAGCGAAAGTTCTTCGTGTCATTTGTTTTGCTAAATCACACACACACACACACACACACACACACACACACACACACACACACACACACACACACACACACACACACACACACACACACACACATATATATATAAAATGGTGAGACAAAAATACCTCCTTCCTTCCAATTTGAGCATAGAAAAGATTTAGCAATGATCTTTTAGCCTCTCGAACTTGACAATGAACAACGGCCTTTGGAAGGCTATTCTTCAAGGAATCACAAACCATACCAACGTAGGCAGACACATTTGTACCTGTTATCAAACATCACATGTTAGACATTGATTTATATCGCTCTACTCCTATATAGCAGCAAACTATGTCTATAACTACATAATGCCCGTCACTAAATTTTCTATGATGTAATTATTCCAAGACATTGATTTCTTTAACGTGTGATTGTCAAAGCCAATAGAGTAGCCAAGTAAACTAAACATTAAAATTCCTCGTAATATGTAACATGTTACCAGAAATGCTTTAGATTCATATCACGTATACATAAAATAAAGTTGAGGTCGAAAATGGAATGGGATACCGATTCTCCTCAGATGATTGTCGGTGTAGCGATCTGCATTTGGACCAGTCGCGGTGTTGGTTTTCTCCGGTTCCATATTAAGTTTCCTGAAAAACTCCACTGTTAGGTATGAGGACTCCATTTCAACCAGTCGTAAAACTGTCCTACGACTTTCATCACGAAACTTCTCCAGTGCTTCATTTGAAGCTGCTGCTATGTCAGATTGAAGCGTCGGGAATCGTTTCAGCTCCTACATGGCCATTCATTGAAAATGAAGAAAGAAAAAGAAGAAACTATTAGACAAACGTTAATCTTAAAATATTGTTGCAAATTCCTATTGTGCATAGTGGTTTTTAAGAGTTCCGGAAGAAAATGGTTCACTATTATGTGACCTTTAGAGTCCTTCAGTAAATTAATATCTACAGTCTTATGGCAGATTTGACTCGATATATAACACGGAGTAAGGACCCATGTGATTTTTTTTTTTTTTTTTTTTTTTTGAGGGGGGGGGGGGGGGGGTGGGGTGGTCAAAAGACCTGAAATTTGTAACATAGCTTGAGCACCTCTATACAGAAGAAAGAAGACATAGTTCTAAGTTCAAAGCGAGTGTTCCATGTTTACCTCAGTCTCTGCAATTGACTTTCTCACAAGTTCTTTCAGGATGAAATGTACCTACAAAGAGCATTAATTTTGAGGGTAACTATTAGTTTCAATAAAATTCAAGATACAAATGCATACAGCATGTATATTTGCTTAATCTAGGAAGATCGCGATACAAGACATAATATGAGTCGATGAGTTTTCATGAGAAAGATCAGAAATATATTCTTCGTTTTAAAGGACTTTGACGGGTATCCATTGGCTACCCCAAAACTACTTCTAGTAGTTATGCTCTTAACTGAAAGGTGTACATGGAACATATATAAACTCTAAATATGTGCACATGCAGATGTAAGCAAGTTTTAGGTAGTCGACTTAAAGCTTAATAAAGACAATAAAAATGCTACCGCATCAACTGAAGCTTCAGCAGGACCCTTGAAGTAGCCAAGTGATCCATCAATTAGTCTTCTGTATCCTTGTTCAGGAGCAATCAAGTGAGGCTGATAGCCATCTGCTTCTGAAATAACTTTTTTAACATTACTTTGTGAGAGATGGCGATCAAATGGAAGCTTTTTGAGAGCGGCCGGTAGCTGATGATCAAAGACACCATATATCCTATCTCCACCTGGCCTCCTGTGAAACTGACTTTGTTACCTCACGAATAATTGTAAAAAAAAAGCTGTAGAGAATATATGAAGCCAGCCAGTATATAAACTTTTGAATCAGGCAACATTTATTACTAGAGCTAACAAAATTTATGTATTTCCACATATTAAGTCTTCTCTTATGTTGTATTTTAATTTGAGGTTTTCTAATTTAAGGGACGTATTTGGGGGAGAAGAATTTCAGTTGACTCTATATCCACCAGAATCACTCAAAACATAGCTCAAAATACGGGAGCTCATTGATTTAAACTGTCAATCTAAATGGAGCCTAAAAACTTAAGGATCCAAAATACAGGGAACTTTAGTATATATTCAGACAAGTAAAAACTTACTTTTAATTTAAGACACGTCCTTAAATCTGAGAGTTTAGAAACTAATACTTGAACTTTGAATATACTATCCTTACGAATCATTTTTATCTTAATAATCTAAATTGATGGCAAGGACACCCAACTACCTACATCATGAGGACCAAATTTGTTTAAAACTGCCAACTACTTGGAGTATGAAGTAGAAGTAAGATTTACGTAGAGGTTGTCATGGTCGTGGCGGAAGCTTCTACTAACTGTAATTAAAAAAACAGAATAACGAATCAGGAACTTAAATTAATTAGTGGTTCCCTAGCAATCACCAACTACCACAATGATATCGTTAAAATTGTCGAAAAAATCTAATCTGACTAAAGTTCAATTCTATTTCTTCCTACCATCTAAGCTTCTCTCTCCAGTCTGCTCTAGTCTATTTGTTGATCAGAAACAAGTAATTGTATAACTAAAACAATTTAGTTCATATGGACAGGAGAAACATAGAGCAAATGTTAAGCATTACCCTCCATCCAGATGTTCCTTAAAAATACGATCAAATGCTCGGCACATTTCCAAAATTGTGTACAGCTGTGCCTGTATATCAAGGTCACGATATTTCAGCTTGAAAAATGACAGTACAAACTAGGTCATCTTGAGTGATATTAGTTTTGTATGGATCCTACTCTTACCCCTCCATCTACACCAACAGGTCTGCCAATACGGTCCAACTCTGCGTTGAGTTCATCTATGGTCCTATTTATTAAGGCAATAATGCTGGGAATGCGCTGCCTAATGACTTTCTCCAGATGCTAATGCATGTCAAAGAAGATAAAACATAGTCAGAAAGTCATGTACAGATGATATCATAGAACAATCGAACCGTAAAGGATAATCATATATATTTGAATAGTCGGTTTACATACTTGAGACAGAAGTTTTGCCAGATATTCTGAACCCATTCTATGAGCCAGATGTCCATACTCTGGGCTGGATTCAAAATATTCTATCTCCTTCTGACGAGCAGAAACCATGTTAACATTCTTGTTGATATCAGCTTGTGAACGATTCACTATCCCAACCCATGGATGCATGAGCTTGTATGCTCTACCTTCGATTACCTTAACAAGGCATAAAATTACAAGTAAATTGAATATCCATTAAAAGCGCAATTTAGGATAGTTAACAGAGAAAATCATTTATGGAATGATGAAAATTAATATCGCACGGTTTTCAAAATTGTATCTTGTATCATTAAAGCAATAATGAATAGTAACCCATACATCAAGAGCATTGGTTCCTTTATCCATCAAATCAAGTTTAGTCAATACTCCAAATGTCCGTTCACCTAGCATCCAAACAAACAGTAAGTCATTTTGTAGTTTGCAGTCAATTAGAATTTAAACACAAAAAAAAAACATACATGCAAAGGTAAAAACAGAGAGAAGTAACTAGGCAGTATTTAATTGATTGATACCCGATGGATCAACTTCTCTTGCAAGCTTTATAGCATCGGAAGTCGCAATATCTTGATTAGCAGGAGAGATGGCCAAAATAATGCAATTTGGCTGCAAAGCAAATATTCAAAAGAGAGATGAAAAATTAATTTAGGAGCTAGGAAGTCCATTCCAAGATTTTGATGCTTAAAAGATCAAGGCAAATTACAATGAGGCTATTAAGAAATGAAAAACAGATCGCATAAACAAAATAATATAAATAACATATCAATTTGCAGTTCCTTCCTAAAAGCACAGATGGAGAGACATAATACTAGAACAAACCCTCGCTCTTAGTCTTAGGAAACCTAAGCCTACGTACATTTCAGTAAGGACACAAATATGAATTCTATCTTCTATCCAAAACTTCAGGTTAGTAATCAAGGAAAAAAACTAATTGTGGGCAAAAGAGATGAACTGATATTAGAAACTGATAACAATTTTTCCAGGCTATTTGCAGAAGATATCGCCATCAATTTTCAGTTCTTACTAAATGGCGAGAAAGGAAAGTCTAGTAATTAGGGTCTATGGCTGAGACTGAGAGGTAGAGTCCTCCACTATTTGGCTATTGAAATTCCAAAGTGAAACAAAGGATTTGCAATAGCATCAATTATCAAAATGTACAGCTGAAACAAAAATGTAGCAAGAATACTACTCTGTGCTCAGAATATTGATACTCAAACTAAAAGTAGTGTTTGTACCTTTTCAACATAAGACCGAACCATATTTTCAATATCTTCAACAATACTCTCTGGCTGTCCCTCTGGAAGAGTTAAATATTTAGCAAGTGCTCAGTCTATCATACATTTTAAAAAAAGATAGCATGGGAGGAATATTATTCTCTTTATTATATGTGTGCATATGAAGGTAACAGTTCGGTGCTCACCTACAGCTACTTTTGTCAACCCAGGAAGATCAATAACTGTTAAGTTTACCACTGCAGAGAAAAAAGGAAAAAAAAACGAGTATAAGCTAGACAATCAAACAAAAAATACATTTAGAAAAGTAATTTAGAAGTAATACATATGTGAGAGATAACTGAGAAAAACTAATATGTCATCCATTATTAAAAATTCCAAGTTCTTCATGAAACAAGACTATGAGATTTAGAAGTAAATAAAGTGAAGACTAGTGCTTACCATTTGGAGAATAAATGCTCAATTGGATAGGAACATTAGATATTTGTTTGCTCTTCCCTGTTATGCGGTCCGTCTCATCTGCTATCTCTTGACGTACAGCAGCTGCACTATCCAAAAATGCCTATTTAAATAAAAAGTGCAAGGCTGAATAAAATTCAAACATATTTATGCATTCAAAACATGGAAATTAACTGGTGAGAATCCTACATAAGTATTCTTTTATATTTTCTAGAATACAATGTCATATGAAACCGTATGTTATTAAATCATTCATAATCTGTGATTTTCTGCTTACTACTTCACCTTCTGCCTCTCTCTACCATAAAAAAAATATATAGCAATTCTTGTTCTTACTCTATAGAATGCCATACAGCTATATGCTATGATCTCCGTGCAGCAGATTTCCTTCTAGATAAGATTTCGAGACTCGATACAGGAAATTATAGGCGAGATCAAGACCTAGTTGCTCATAGTATTGACACTTGCAAGTGCCTATGAGAATGAGGTACCGTGCACTAAATGCGAAATTCAATGCGCTTTGATCTCAGCACACCAGTCAATCATAGAGAACAGTACTAAATTAAGAGAGGATCCGGTCAAACGAAAATGACTAATGATAGGAAACGAAATGATTTTAATTGAACACAACATCTTATACATTGGCGTTAGACAATGGCAAACAATCTAGAGAGTATAGAAAGTGTAACGTTCGATCTCTAGATCTAAACGTACCGAAATCAGAATATTTCTTCTTAGGCGCATGTAGAAACTCTGCATACTCCGTTTGTCCCTCCGTTTTATGAAGTTGCAACACCAGTGGCCTCCTTGTTACAATGCCTTAAATTGAAAACAGAAGGAGATTACAAATTGATCAGTGCAATACGCTTCTGTTCACTAATTATACATCATTTCCAATAATAACAATTGCATTTGCTCTCAATAAATTGATTAAATATAATTATTTCACAGAAGATAGTATAGTATATACAAACACTTTAAAGAGATCTGATTAGGTCAAATGTAAGTAATTATAACGTACAACACAATGTGGATCGGCTACTTAGATGGGGATTGAGTTCAAGGAAATTAGAATCCGATTGGTATGCGACAGATATACAAAATAAATCTACATCACAAGCAACGAAAAGAGAAACAAGATGAATAAACAAAAATTTACCTGATCCTCGAGGCAGAAAATCTCTCCCAACTACGCTCTCGAGGACCGACGATTTGCCAGAACTCTGTTATCGATTTCAACACACCAAATCAATATGAGATTTTTCATAATCAGGAAAATTGCAGAGAGAGAGGGAAATGAGAGATGTTGGATAAGGAGAAATGAGAAAGTATACAGGACCTGGCCGCCGACGACGGCGACGGAGGGAAGCGCTTCCCAAAGAGACATGCCTTCGCCGCCATGATCGCCTAACACGGTGCACGCCCTTTGGATTCTGTTCACTAAGCCGATTAAGCTTTCCATTGTCGCCATTTTCGGAAGATGTGAGAAATGCAGTAATGCTGAGGAAATGCGATTGGATCTCCGATTATGGTATTAGACGAGGGCAATGAAACAGGAGAGAGAGAGAGAGAGAGAGCACGAGAAAAACGGTCGAGGACGTGGGATTTGATTTCAACGTGCTATCAAATATTGATTAGATCGATAGATCGATAAAAAATTAGAATTACTCCATTAATTCCACATTATATATCTCCTTTTCCAATATTATCAAACTATTAATTTAAAATAAATAAAAAATAGAAATTTGTGATTTTTTTTTTTTTTTGAGAATCTGATATTTTATAATTAAAATATCAGTAGCCAGCACATTCAATAGTATTATTTAATATATTGGGTAAATATTGACTGAATTATTTACTATTGTAATTCGCATATCGATAGCAAAAGAGAGATGATTATCCACGAGAGGAATTTGGGAACCAATAACTATTAGCTTTTAGAGAGAGAGAGAGTTTTAGAGATGTCGTGTTGACAGCCGTTCAATGAGCCATACAGATAACAGCGGCGGCGGAGACAGAGTATAATAAGTGGCGATGGGTTGGGATTTGACGACTTGGGAATTGAGAATTGAGAAATCCGGTTTAATTTTTATTTTTGGTTTTTGACCGATTTGTTTTGTGATTCAATGCAAACCGTGGAACCAGATCTAAATTAGCAGCCCTAGTTAAGGGTATTTACAAAATACAATTGGATACTATAAGGTATTTTGTAATTTGAATGTTGAAATTCCGAATTATAAAGAGATAGTTTGCTCAAGGTAGCCTCCTCGAGTCCCCTCGTGTAATTCTCGTTATTGGGTTAACCATGCACGTCACATGTTTTTAGCAATTCAGATTGGATCAAATGGTACAAATCTCGAATAAGAGCAACTCCAATGGGAGTATCAAATGGATTATCAAATCCATAAACCACCTTTTTTATATTCTAAAATCAAAATTTTCCACTCCAATGGGAGTATCAAAATGGGTAAGTATTTTGATATTCTACCTCTTTGAATGTAAAAATACATCTCGGAAATTGAGCTATCAAAAAAATAACTACCTAAATATCCAATCAAAAAATGACACGTGGCAATTACAAATAAAACCACTAAAAAACTTCCAATTGATTATTGATTTAGATAATCATGGTTGGAGTAAATAAGTTGTAAATAGATATTAAAATATTATCTTAATTATCAAATGAGTATTGATAATCCAATTTTGATGTTTAGCATTGGAGTTGCTCTAATAAGTAAATGGTATCACTACGGAAGTAAACACACTACACGTTCCAATTCATTTGAAAAAACATCTTTCCCCCCAACCAAATAACGCCCTCATTCTTTCCAATGTCTTCTTTTCATTCCGAGTACCGGTAAAACCAAAAACCCAAAACCCAAAAACTAAGGGAGATAAATGATTATAAAAATAAAAAATAAATCAAAAATCAAAATATGAAAACATGAGAAACAAAATAAACTTTATGGTAAATTACACATGCACCCTGAGGTATGTTAAAATAACTTTAAGGTCCCTATAGTATCAGTAATTACAATCACCCCTGAAACATTTTTAGAAGCCCTAACGGAATAATGAATTAAATAAGTTATTCCATTCGAAGGGTTCTAACGGACTATTAATTTCAGGCAATGGTAGAGACAACATAGACCCAGAGAATGCCACACGGCTCTCCTAACATTTAAATCCTAACTATTTTATACAAAATTTATAATTTTTCGTCTATAGTAGCATTAACGGCCCCGCGGAAAACGATTAAAAATGCATATCGAGCCCCAGGACATAAAATATTGGTTCCGGTAATAGTATCAAGTAGCTCAATTACCAATACTACAGGAACTTAAAGTTATTTTACTATACCTCAGGGGTGTAGGTGTAATTGAACTCAAAAGAATTTTCCACTGTTGCTTCATGTTATGCTTCTCACTTGTTTATTCCAGCATCAATTTGCTGGCTAAGTATACCCAGGAGCACGTGAACCCACGTGACCCAAAGCAAATTTCTCTGACACACAGCACCAAGCCAAAGCAATTATAAAGAATATTTTGACCATGAGGTCCTGGACACAACATACCAACCACCCCCCCTACTGACCCCACCCCACCCCACCCACCCACCAACTGACCAAGATAATGTAATAAACTCATTTACATATAACTCCATTCACACCATAAATTCATAATCAAACACCAACAAATTGCAACAATAGAAGTGCAGAGAAACAGTTTTCTGGTGTAAATAAAATAAAAATAAAAAAACATAAGGGGCATAGATTATAGAATACAGATGAACAAAAAAAAAATATTGACAAACCTCAACAAATACCAATCACACTAACTGCAGATTTCAAATATAGACTGCAAACCGATAAAAAAAAAAAAACGACAAATGTGTGGGGGCGAAGGCGAAGGATAAGCCGATAAAAGCTACTACCTATACAACACATTAGAGAGTGCCACTCAAATATGTCTGCCCGAAAAGTTAGCTCAACTTTGATATCTTCATATGTTTCTTACTGATTTTCTAAGCAGAGGGATTATAGTCTAAGTCAGAAGCACACCAATCAGTTTCCACCAGATTTTTCATCGTCTTTGTCACGAATTTCTTTTTTTTCTTTTTTTCGTTCTCTTGCCACAACCAAAGAGCCATTGGCATGCTTGTTACGATTATAAAAACAACAGTGAAGAAAAAAAGAAGGGGGTAAATTTAGAAATTGGGGAGGATAAAAAAAGGAAGCAATACGAGTTTTAGCTGTTGAACGGTTCTTGATGCTGCTGCTGCGGGCATGATTATCTGTTATTGTGTGCTGCGGGTCAATCCAGTTCTTGATACAGTCCTGCACATGATGATTGTGTGTAAATAGAGAAGGCCGAAACGTTCTCGGTAATTGTTTGAAGACACATTGTCAAAATTAATAGGAAAGTCTTTTGTTGTCGGCCACATTAAATTCAAGCATTCTTTTCCGTATTTGCGAAAAAATCAAATGCAAGCAATTTCAACGTTCTTAAAACTTATCTACCAGGGAAATAACTGAAACCAGTCACCCAGCTCATCTCATTATTGAAGTACATCAATCATTATTTAAGTTGAACACCAAATGCTTCATCCCTAAAATATCTTCGTTTTTGCCTTTAACATATGCCGAGTTAAATGCTTTATACCAATCCATATCATCGGAACCACTATAAAAACAGACATGAAATCGTACAGAACTCAATGCAAGGTTACCAAGAAGTCAAACTCGGTTTCAGAAGCATTTGAAATGGCATGATTTGGTCTCTAGGAAGCTAGGATAATGATTGGGCATAACAAGTCAAACATAACAGGCTGTAGTTAAGGTCAGCATTAAATTCAAGAGATGCATTTTAAATATAACTTCCCCACTGTCAATTTCAAGATCTCTTGGCACATCCATGTGCCACAGCGATTAAAAGTTCTCGTGTTGTATTAAAATCTACATGCTGACTGGACCAGCCCTAGTAGAAAACAAGAATGGAAACATTTCATCGTTCTTGCAATAACATAATACAAAAGGCATACCTTGCGGGGAGCAACTGAGAACTGTTCATTGAACTCTTCGGATTCCCAAGTCGTTTGGCTCGACTATCATGTTCCTTATCCACTCGCATTGCAGCCACCTCCTTCTCCATAGCAGCCACCTCCCTTCTCATCTTTTTGGCCTCGACTTCCATCGCTTTGGTCAGAGTTTCTACCTTCTTTGCTAACATCTAACGGTAAAATAACAAGGAATTTTTAGGATAAAGACAAAAAATTGCAAGTACAGTAATTCAGTAAAGAAAGAAATCAACCTCAATTGCGTCATCCTTGTCTTTGAGGCCCTGATCCTTTTCATGACCAGCTTTCCTCAACGCAACCACCTCTTTCTGTAGTAGATCGTATAACAAACCCGGTACGGTATCCTCTGTGTCAGTAACTTGTATATCACTGCCTTTTTCCTCTGCTTTCCATGTACTACTTTGTGTCTCGGTTTCCTTGGTTCCATCACAGGACTGGCTTTGCTTGAAATTCGGTCCTAACCCATTTAAGAGAACTTTACTCCTGTCCGAAGATCTTGAACCACCATCAAAGGACTTTGATGTCCCTTTTGCATGTTTCAACACTGTACTGCTGCTAGAAGATCTGAGTTGAAACGATGGTGATCTCTTTGGTAAAAATCCATTGGAAGTCAATTTCGAAATGTTTTCAGCTCCACCAAGTGACTGGCGACGTGAAGGACCATTGCTTGAGCTTCTTGCATCCGGCACACCTCGAGTTGCTGTGCTCGGAGATCTCAAAGTCTCTTCAAGAACCCTCAGGCGCAGTTGGTATTTTTCCTGGAAGATGAAACGGAAGCTTATTTTAAACCTAAGAATTTATTTAATGAGATTTTAGTTATGGGTTCTCATATTATTATACGTAAATCCCATTTACTTTCATCTGGGCTTCAGATCTTGCAGTTCTTTCAGTTATGGTAAGCTTGTCCCTGAGTTGCTGCATCTCACCCTGTGAAAAGGATAATAATTATTGCAGGAATTTCGTCCGATTGCATAATTAAAGTTGAACTGCCTCCATTAAACTGAGGCAGAAGGAAAACAATGTATATGTACCTGCAAAAATCTTCTTTCTTCTAGCCATTGTTTTACGGGCATCACTTTGTCATTAGCATCTTTCCATTCATTAGCCACCACAGTTGCCACCCTATTTGCTGTTACTTTAGCCCGAGCAAGCTCCCTATCAAGAGTTTTTCTTTCTTCCTGAAAATTAAAAATTCAAGATATCCCACTTGGGTTCAAGCATATATTCAAAAGTTGTATCTGTAAATAAGTGGTTAGTGGGTGCATGTTTATGGATCATTACATTCATTTCCTGAACTTTTCGCTGGTAGTCACGAACTGCATTGGCTGCTGCACCACCAGCAAGCACGGCCTCTTCAAGCTCACGTACAGTTTGGGTGAGCTTTTCAACCTCAGCAACCTTTTGCCGATGCATTTTGTCCAATATCTTATTCTCTTCCTGCCAAAACAGGAGAATCTCATCTTAGAAAGAACCAAAAATACACAGAATAAAAGAGCACAAAATAAGGCAATACACCAATACCTGACAAATTTCAATCTGCTTCATCAATTCTTGGTTCTTGTTTTGGAGATCATCCACCATAGAAGCTTTCGCCATAGCTACCTGTACAGTTCTCTCTGCTTCAAGTAAAGCAGCCTCTTTTGATTTGGTGAGCCTGTCCAATGCTTTGTTATCATCCTGCAGCTTTGCAATCTAGAAGGAAAAGCTAACAGTTAATTCGGTAATTCCCTCAAATGAGATTGATGTCGACTAGATGCTCATATGTTTTAAGGCACAAACCTCCTGCCGAGCAAGCTTGAGCTCAGCCTCCAGTGGAGCTAGGATAGCTTCAATTGGAGGCATATCATCGTCCTTTTGAGCAGCATGAACTCTCCTAAGAGTAGCTTCTGCTGCAAATTGAGCTGCCATGGAGGCCTTCTTTTCATCATTAATTCTCTTAATTTCAAGATTCTGTCCAAGATTGTGACCATAAAAATAAATAAATAAATCTCTGCCATCAGAAATATAAACCTAGAAAGAGGATGAGGGAGAAAAAGAAAAAATCGCAGCCAGTACCTTGCTTTCTAGTAGAGATTCTGTTAATTTGAGCTTCTCATCCACCTTTGTCAACTCTTCAGTGAGCTAAGGGAAATGAAAAATCTTAGATTACGCACAAATTCAAGAGGGTAGCTTCTCATAGGAAGAAAGCCAAGAGAAATAGCAGGAAACCAAGAAAAGATGTGCAAGCAAAGAAAATGAAACTACCATAAATAGTCCTAAGACATAAGAAACTACTTCATACATAAAGTAGCATATTAACCCAAGTAATATCCCGAAACTCATGAAGTATCTTTAACACAGACCCTCATTTAGCAACAACAGTTCCACTCCAGCTACGCCAATGGCATCATTCATCTAATTAATACTAGACTACTAGTTCATTATATACCATGGAAACCCAAAGGATCAAGAGGACCAGCAGAGGCAACTAAGCATACGAATATTTTGAAACCTAAACATTCTCATGAAGAAGACTTGGAAAGTCCAAAAGCGTTATGATAAGTTGTGACAAAGTGAAATACGTAGCAGCCACAAAAAATTGGTTCAATGGCAATTACTTCAAAACATGCAATCTTGAATTTCCCCGTGGTTAATATTGGATTCATATTTTTTATTTACCAGTAATTTATCTAGTTAGCACTAAATTTCCAACTTACCCACCAATCCATCCCCAAACCCCAAGTAGGAAAAACAAAAATACAAACAAGAGAAGATCATATAAAAGACAGCCAGTTTCCAGGTATGATAGAATACAAAGATTTAGTCCAGGAATGGAACCTCTTCAACAGCTTTTTCGCGTAGCCTCTCAGACAACTTCAAAGCCCTGATCTGAGACTGTGCTTCCCCCAACTCTCTGTCCTTATCTGCAAACAATAAACCCCACTAAAATGCCATTGTTTCAACAAATTACACACACAACCAAAAATATTTAATGTGAAAAGACGTATAGCGCTCGAGGTTTAGGTTGTTTTTTTTCTCTCAGAACTGAATTAACACATCAAACAGCCTTGCGCTTCACCTCAGGATACAATTATTTCAAAATTTAAGACACTGTAACGCATTACACTACCCATTAAATTAATTGAAAGCATCGAAGCGGCAGCGTTTAACATCAAATCAGAGCGGGAATCTAGTGGATCCAGCTGAAGAGACTAACCTCTGACTTCGTTCTCCAGTCGATTGAGCTCCAGCTTCACCGGATCCGAGCCGTGGAGCAGGTTTATAAAATCGTCAGCGTCGAGGCTCGGCCGTACCGACGCCCTCCGCCGCGACGACGAACCCTTGCTACCCTCCTTGAACGACGCCGACACCGTGAGCGGCGTTAGCGCCGGCGCATTGCCGCTGGTCTCTCCGGGAATCAGCTCCATCGCCACACCAACACCTCCCTCGCCGGAGACCTCCGCCATCACAGATCTATTCACTTTTTGCAGCTCGCATCAAACTTCCAAAGGAACACCGTATATACTTACAAAACAATGTATGTAAATATGTATAAATACTTCAGTACAAGTGTAGAGAGAGAGAGAGAGAAACGGATAGCGATTTGGAGAGATGAGTTCAAAAACACTGCAGTGGGTAAAATTTGAGTAAAGATGATAGAGTTTTTTCTTTTAGAGAGAGAAAGTGATTTGAGAGTTCAAATTGACATGCTTTTTTCCTCCGTTCGTTTCTCTCTCTAGAAAAAAATAATATTGCAACTAATCTGTCTGTGTCAGTGTGTGCGCTCTGTGAGCTGATTTGGAGTGTTATTTTTCTTTTTCTGCAGCGGAACTGTGAAAGGACGAGAATACCCCTCATCTAAAGCACGGGAATATTAAAACGGAACAGAAAATTGAAGATAGATTTGTCATAAAATAATTAAAGGAGTGGCTGAAGCAAATTTGAGACGGAGGAAGGAGATGGGCATGGGACTCGAGAGGAATTCTTTCTGTGTGAGAGAGAGAGTGTGATTTATATGTAATATGTTAATTGAACTTATTATAATTATTATAATTATTTATAATAATAATAATAATAACTTGATTTAAAGTATGAAAAAAAAAATTATGTACGTTGAATTGATTGAAATATGTCAGTTTAATAAAAAATTGAAATACTGATAACAGTGATTATGAGAGTAGTTCAAGAGATGGGATTCATTGCATTTAAATGGTAGGGAAGTTAGAAAATTATTCTTTATTATTATAATAATAAAAAAAAAATATGAAGCATTTTGATGGGAAAATTAGAGTTTCATCACTCAAATTAGTACTTATTCCACATTTGGTCCTTCATGTTTACAAAAAATACATTTGCTCCCACATGTTTCAATAATTTAACATTTTCGGTCATTTCTGTCAATTTACCGTTAGTTCGTCAGTTAAGACAATGATGAGCATACATTTAATTCCGTTAGAACGAACGGAATTGACTGGAATAACTAAAAATGTCGATTTTCTAATACATGGGGGACCAGATATGTTTTTTTGTGAATATGAGGGACCAGATATGAAATCGATGCAAACTTAAGGGACGAAAACTGTATTTTTCACATGTTTGATTGTTATGAATGATCATTAAAATACACCGGGCTCGTTCGGTTACCGCTATAAGGTTCTACTGACTAAATAGTAGGGGCTAATAGCATGTCCGGTTGGTAAGATTCACACTTTTTCAAACTCGCTACTAAAATCAAAGCCCGCTATTAAATGCTACTATTTCTTTAAATTAGTAGCACCCCCCGAGATTAATTTAATAGGGGGTGACTAAAAAGGAAAAAGACAATTTTATCCTTAAATTCATATTTTATTATTGTTAACTAAGTGGTTTTATAGACAATTCATATATAATAACCGATTTTAACAAATTTAATAGAAAATCTAATCTAAGAAACCGAACATGCTACTAACTAAATAATTAATTAGTCAGTGGGAATTTAATCCAATCTCATGTAATCCAATCTAATCCAATATAGGTAACCGAACGAGCCCCTAATGTAATTTATATATTCTATATAGATTACAAACTATTATACAAAAGCAGGATTTTAAAGTATGAACCCGTATAATTCGATATCATTATAAATATACATATATTTATATATATATATATATATATATATATATATATATATATATATATATATATATATATATATATATATATTAGTTACGTTAGCTCTTATACGAGAACAAAGTTTATCTCAATTCGCAAAAATTTGTTAAAAAAAATGTGGGGTATATTTAATTATGTTATATTTTTAATATAGGAATTGTTACAATGTACACATCAAACTATTTTGATTTATCCATTATTAAACAAATTATACAAACAATAAATTGTAGCCATTTGTCTTCCTACCAAATAAAATATTTGTACTAGTTGGTTATATATCAAGGTAAATCAGTCTTTTATTCGAACCTTAATAAGTTCGAATGAGACACTTTCCACTATAATATCATATTGTACTTGATTAATATTATTGTATTATTTGTATTAGCATATAATATAATGATTGAATGATGCGGAATTATATACTTATTAGTTATTAGTTATTACACATACGATATTTAGATATATATATAAGACCTATTTAAGTATATATATAAATATGAAAATATGCACAATAATGATTAGTATTTATTTATAAATTTTAAATAGATGAAAGTGTATTTCTAAAGATTTCATGATTGAATGTTTGATTCATTTTCACGAAAAATACTAAAACTATTGGATAAATGGAACCATCTTGAAAAAAAGAAAAAAAAAGAAAAAGATGCATTGAAATCAAATAAAATTTTGTTTTCAAAATGAAGCAAGAACGTTAAAATAATAATAAAAAAAATATTAATATATACTAATTAGTGTATATTTAAGAAAGGGGAAATTGCAGTTTTCACCCCTCAAGTTTACATCGATTTCACATTTAATCTTTCATTTTCACAAATGACATATTTGGTCCCTCATGTTCCAATAATATATCTCTTTTGGTCATTTTCGTCAATTTACCGTTAGTTAAGGCAATCATGGAATACGCTTGATTCCGTTAGTTTTGACGGAAATTTGACGGAAATGACCGAAAGTGTTGAATTTTTGAAACAAAAGGGACCAAATGTGTTTTTTGTGAACATGGGGGACCAAATGTGAAATCGGTGCAAACTTGATGGACGAAAACTATATTTTTCCCATATAAGAAAACTAAAATCCTAGTGATTCTTCAAATTGATGTATTACTTGACTAATTAAGGGAAAAATTATAGTTTTCACCCCTCATGTTTGAACTAATCTCACATTTTGCCCCCCATGTTTACAAAAAGACACATTTGGTCCCTCATGTTTCAATAACTTAATACTTTTGGTCATGTCTGTCAATTTACCATTACTCCGTCAGTTAAGGCAGTGATGTACACACGCTTCATTGCATTAGTACTAACGGAAAATTGACGGAAATAACTAAATGTATTGAATTTTTGAAACATGAGGGACCAAATGTGTTTTTGTAAACATGCTGGGCCAAATGTGAAATCGGTATAAACTTGAAGGACTAAAACTGTATATTTCCCATTAATTAAAGTCATTTTTCTTTTTTATGAAATACTTATATATTAAAAAAATGTCAGATAACATACTGTTCTATTCCTAATTGTGAGATTAATCAGAAACAGCAGTAAAATAATGGGATTAGCAGAGGAGCTTTGCTGTACATAAACAGTTAAGCAGATCGTGTTGACTGGCGAAAAAGGGTTGTGGCAGAGAAGTGCATCAATAAA